TTTGGTCAGCGAAGATACGGTTGAGTTGTTTGGAGAGGGAAGCTGGACTGATCATTGAGAGGCGAAAATTGTACCAGTCTTAAAGTCTGTTTTTGCGGCTGAAACGTGTGCGGATCTGGGGCCAGTGTTGTCTGTACGTTTCTGCTATATTCCGTTCAGTAGAAGGAACAAGGTTGGCGGGAATAAGCACGGGATCAACTTCCCAGCTGGAACCAGCAGCGGTGGTAGCAGTGGCTGACGCTTGAGGGGCGGTCCGTGGAGAAGAATTTGCAGAGGGGTCAGCAGTCTTCCTGGCTTTTTTCACTTGCGGAGCATCTGCAGTTTTTGCTGCCAAACGTTTCCTGTTAGTGGCAGCGGGCTGTGGAGTTGAATGCCCGGTACGAACATGAGCGTTGTAAGGTGAGAGGTTGTGGAAAGTTTCGCCACATATACCACAAGTGAAAGTGCGTTCGGCAGCTCTCTTGTCGTGCGCTTTCAAATGTTTGTTCAGATTTGATTTCGTTTGAAACCGTTTGTCGCAGCGGGTACATTCGTATGGTTTCTCCCCAGTGTGGACGCGTTGATGGGTCTTCAGATTATCTATACGAGAGAAGGTCTCCCCACAGGTCTGGCAGCGATGCTCTTTACGAACCTTTTTCGCTGGGGGTTCACCATCCCCGAATTGAATTTCCTATAATTAGTAAATATGACCTAGTCTGAGTGTAAAGCTCATTTAACAAGAAACTCTGATAAACTCTATTTGTCTACAATGAGCGTGATAACAACTGGGTAGATGGTTTGTTTTTGATGTTGAATCAACAGAATAAATTTAATTTTATGTGTCGATCCACGACATAATTGACTTTCAGAGATAAGCGCGCGGGCGCTATTATAACTCTGTTATATTGCTATAATCAACTGCTTAGTGGAAATAACTTAAATTGCTCTGATACCTGTTTGAGTATATATAATACGCTGTCTATTTTCTTCAACTCAGCTTGATGATTGAATAATATTAGTACATTGAGCAAATACTTTGTTTTTTATTTTCAACAAAAGAATAGAATAGATTTCAATATGGGTGCAATCATCCGTAAAAACGAATTCACTTATCTGATCAGTGAAAAGCGGAATCGATAACTGAGAATAAACTATTTTCGCCTTGAAATCATAAATACCAAGCCAACTGTAAGTTTTATAGTCTTCCAACTCTTATAAACGATGGAATGAATGATATTGTCTCTTGGGGGTGAGCCTAGACAATTTAATTTTCAAAGGGTATACATTTCAAAAAACTTGAATAGGAACGTTTGCACTCAGCGTATTCTAATCAAGTGAACATGAAAGATTACTTACGGTTTCCGACGGGTTCCAAGTCGGTAATTCACTTGTTTCGCCAGTCCACTGAAAATGAATAACAAATATACACATAAGTGATTGAACAATTAATAGCGCAAACTTAATTCCGTGAAAGAAAAAATAATTCTATGTTCAAGAATACTTACTTCGTCCAAGAAATTATCCCATGTATCTTGCGTTGATAACGGTGCCGACTCGTTGTTGTTCTAGATAAGAAGAGAAGAAATCAGATTACTTCAGGTTTTGAAATCTCGCCTGTTTTAAAGAAATAGGTGGGTATAGAACGAAGAAGGAGATTCGTAATGTTGTTTCAACACTAAACAAATCATTTACGTTGCGTATTAAAAAGGAAATGGAGTTACCTTGTCTAGCGCCATACGTTCCATCTCATTGACGGTCTGCATTTCTTCAGTTGTAAACTGTAAAGCAAGGAAACATATTCGATGAGTATTATATGACAACTGTCTACAAAACGTTGAAGCAAATCGAGTTTATAAGTCCTTTTGATTCATTAACGACGATAACAAAAGATACGCGAGCGGGTTAATAGGTCAGATGCAAATCTAACCCAAGTCGAGTCTATTAACATAACGAACATAAATGATGCGTGAAAACTCGGTTACAGAAAATTACTCAAGGTCGTTTTTCAAAACTTACCGAATCGCTCAGTATCTCGTTGACTTCAACACCCGCGTTAACTTTCCCTGGCATCTATAGTAAACGAGAAAAATTTTAAAGATCAATTTTCTATTTAAACTTAAACTGACATAGTCTTAACCAAAATATACTTACGACATTCTCGCGCTGATAAAATTCGTTGGATTGATCGCTCCCATTATCCTGGTTCGTTTGAATCTGTGGAGTACAACGT